GATTGCATTTCTTCATATCAATGTAAAATTTGTTTCTATATTTCATTAGTTTTGTAATTTCTTCTGTTATCCAAGTATTTTCTCTTGCTCTCAGTGTTTCTTTGATTTTATTTTCGTTTGCTGCTTCTTGTATAATTGAAATTAAGTCCTCTAGTGTGTTAACTGTTTTAGAGTTTAATTTACAAGCTATTGTGTTTTCTAGTCCTTCTAGTCTTATGCTGTATCTGGTTATTTTGTGCATTTTGGGTTTTATTTTTGGTGTATTTTGTACATATATTGATAGCATTTTGTGGTCGGATAGTTCTGTGTCTTTTAATTCTATGTTTATATTTTTTTTGTAGTTGGATATAACATGATCAATTATGGAATGTGTGTTCTGAGTCTCTCGTGTAGCGTGTTGTTTATCTATATTGTTTATTATTCTGTATCCTGATGATTCTATGGTATTTTTATAATTATTTGCTATATTGTTATTGGGTATTAAATCTAAATTCATGTCACCTATTATTATTGTATTTTTATTATTTTCTTCCATCTTTTTCTCTATTAAGTTTACTAGGTCTTGTTTGTTATTGTTTGGCGGGTTGTATATAACTATAATTTTTATAACTGGATTCATATTAGTTATTTCTATTTCCAATATGTTGATGTTATTTATATTACTCCTTTCTTTGACTGTGCTATTCAAACCGTTTCTTACAAATATAGCTATCCCTCCCCCCTTTTTTTTCTCTGCAGTTGTGGATTCCCGTAAAATTTTTTAGTTTATAATATTCTGATTCATCTTTATATAACCATGTTTCTGTTAGTATGAGTATGTGGCAATTCTTATTTTCTGTTGTTAATATTTCTAATTCCTCTATTTATTTCTAAGACTTCTAATATTTATATATGTAATTTCTATATCTTTATCATTCTTATTTCTATAGTTATTTGTCTTTTTCAGATTGTCTGATGTATTTGGTTCTTCTAGTTTATTGTTAGTGTTATTTGGGCTTCTAGTATTTATATAATTGACTTCTATCGATTTGTTTATTTTTTCTTGTAAAGTCATGTTTTTATAATTTATTTTTGTTTTTATTGATTAACTTCTAGTTTTCCATCATAATTAATTGTTTGCCTAATTTGACTTACTTTAAATTTGTAGCACGGGCAGTTATAACTGCTCGTACTATGCTGCGTGTTGTAATTTGTTTTGTACTTGTTGTTGGCATCCAAACAGTTTATGCACTTGCTTTCCTCAGCTTGACATTCTCTCGTGTAGTGATTTCCAGTACACGAACCACAGTATATCCTGTTTGTGCAGTTCACTGCTAGGTGGCCGTAGGCTTGACATTTATAACATTTTTTCATGTTGAAATCTTCAACTATGTGGGCATCTTTCCATCCTATGTTAATGTTTCCTTGAATTAATTTTTTGTACGTTTCCCCCGAAGTTTCTATGTATGATATCCAGTTTTGGCTCCTTTTTGTTTGTCTGGTATGAATTTGCCTTATCTGATCATTTTCATTTATCATATGGTTGTATTCGATTAGCTCTTGCAGTATTTCGTCTCCATCTTGGTATTTTTTTTGTTGGAAGATTTGTAATAGTAGCCTTGGGTTTTTTTTGCTTAGTTATGTAGATTTCGTAATCCTTTCCAATTTCCTTATTCATGTATGCTTCAAGTTTTTTTGTCCCTTCTAAAGTTGTTGCCTGTATTAGTTAATCCTCCCTTTTTAATTTTATTACTGATTTAACTTTTACATCTACTTTCTTCGGGTTTATTTCGTTTCTAGTTCTTTTTGTGTCTAGACTATTTTGATTTTTCTTTGGTTTCACTATTATTCCCGGCATATTAGTTGCCTCAAATAAGGGGGTTTATTTTGCGTATATTCATCTTGCTTTTCACTATCACTTTACAATCATTGCATAACTTTCTTTCTTATTCTTAATATACTTAAATCGTCTTTTAATTTTTGTAATTCATTCATTATTGTGAAATGTCACTTTCGCGAGCGTTTCTAACCTCACTTTCCGCGTCGCATATTTCACACACCCATTTTATATATTTACACTCACTTATTACTTTATATTGTTCATTGTTCAGTTTAGCACATTTTTTATGAAACCATTTTTTGCATTTTCCGTCACATCCCACTATTTTTTCACCATTAAATTCGATTTTACATTTTTTACAACTAACCGCGTCGTCCGTGTCGCCCGCCATCTTTATGAATATTCCATTCTTATGAATATATGAGTTTTATGTTTACTTATCTATGGTTATCAAAATTTTACACCCCATTTGTGCGATTTTCTGGGCATAATTATATTTACATCGTATATTGAACAGTTACTAAAATTTTATACTACGTTTTCCTGAATATTATTGAACATGTATTGAATAAATTTACACCTTACCTTTATTGAAAATATGTTTGTCGATAGTAATATGTAATACAACAATTTTGATTGCTGTCAATGTAGTTGAACCAACCTTTGGATTCAAAACAAAACCTATCAATTTGTTGTTTGGTTTCCTTCGTAAAAATCTGTCCACATATAGACATTGAGCAAAAATGAGAAAAAATTTTATACCGTAGAAGTGCAATATTTATACTCCTAGCCTCATATGCGCAGCGTGCATACAGAATTGGATAAAATGCATATAAATTTGCAGAAGGCAGTTTTTACCACTCTAAATTCTTCTGAATTTACATTTTCTTGTAAGTACGATCATATTCTTAAAAATTACAACAAAAAATGCCGTCCAAACATCGTCCTTCGTACTACCGGTCAAATGACCGGTCGCGGTAGGTAAGACATATTAGGAAAAGTCATGAAGTTTGATGACGATTCAATTACGTTTGATATAAAAATACGAAGGTAGGAATAGCGTAAATATTTTTTCAATATTTTTAATTATTTTTAACATCCCGAAGGAGAAGTTTGTTTTCATCAAAAAATCCGAATCGCTAATTTTATGTTTTCTCGACGTTTCAAGCCATTCTGAATCGAATGAGACCAAATTTGGAATGAGTGATGAGTTGTTGGTAGTGATCGGCCGGGCCGTTTTCTTGTAATGAAGTGCTGAAAAAATTTTTCGACGATTTTTATTATTTTTTTGACGGTAGATACCATGGTCTTCTAGATCATACTAAAATATTACGGCTCCACGACAATTGGTCTAACTTTGAAAAAGTTTGCAAAAATTGGTATCGTTTTTTTGGCATTTGACAAAATTAAACCTTTGATCGACGTTTTCTCAAAAACGCCTAAACCGATTTCATAAATTTGAAAGTCATTTGATGTATCTCAATGAGGACTATAATTTGTCAGTTTTGTGAGACGATCTGCCGAGCCGTTTCTTTGTAATTTGAAAAAAAGTGTTAAACTTTTCATCCACATTTAAGCTCAAACTACCGACTCGATTTTAAAAAATCAAAAACTGTTCGAAAGATATTAGTTGAGAATGATACTAATCATTTTTAGGTGAAAATCTACCGAGCCGTTTTCTTTTAATTAACTGTTGAAAAAAAATTCATACGGATTTTTATGGAACTTTTTTTGGTGATATATATCATGATCTTATAAAACTTACTGAAATATTACGGCCTTATGACAGTAGTTTAATTTTAAAAATAAATCAACGTTTGAGAAAATGAGTAGTTTTTTGACGTTTGTTAAAATCAAAATTAGACGATTTACTTGGTATAACGATAGAGTACTTGATCTTAATGAACATACTAAACCATTGAAGTCCTACAGAAACTGGTTCAATTATAAAAATTATTGATTTGTGAAAGTTTGCTTTCAGAAAATACTCAGAGTTAACGTGTTTTCAATGATGTGTAATAAATCCACTCGGAATATTTAAATATTCTAATATTCAATAATTATAATCACTCATGAATTAAATTATTATTTATTGATTAAGTCGATTATTTACACATATTCATGTAACTTGCCTCAAGGCTAAATACCAAACCAACTAGTTTAAATATTTTTTAAATACTTTATAAATAAACTATTTTTGAACAATTTTAGTCAACTTACTATCTTATCAAATAATTTTTGAACAATTTTAGTCAACTTACTATCTTATCAAATAATTTTTTAACAATTTTAGTCAACTTACTATCTTATCAAATAATTTTTGAACAATTTTAGACAACTTACTATCTTATCAAATAATTTTTGAACAATTTCAGACAACTTACAATATTTTTAGACAATTTACTATATTATCAAATAATTTTTAATTTTTTTTTAATTAAACCACTCCTTTGTAGACTTACAATATTTTAGGATATTCATTAACAAAATGAACTTTGCCCATACAAAGTTTCGAAACCCCAAAGAAACGCCCCGGCCGATCTTTACTGAAACTCTAAAAGATCTACTAATTTAATCTAGGACAAACTAAAACTCTGGTAAGACTAATTATATGTTCTATTGATTTTTCTTATGTTTACGTTAAATTTTATTTCTTGAATTAGGATTGAAATATTTTCATTGAGATAGGTCTGCAATACATGCAATGTGAATTATTAAAACAATGCTTGTGTATAATTAACATTTTAATTACATTATTAGTATGAACCTAATGGATTAGTATAGGAATTTTTACTTGGAATTAATAATAGTAATTCTCAATTACATGTTTTATGTTATATGGCAACATAAATAGAATATTTGTGAAGTCGTACTAATGTTATTTCGATATTAATTTTTCCGCTCGAACTATAGATTATATCTATTTATCTATGATATATTCATGATATAATTATTTATCTATGATATAAACTTTTACCAATGCTTATTTATCTAGGAATATAACTTCTTGACTATTTCATAAGTACCAAAAAGAGTCGCTTGGGGGTCTTTGGCGCTACTTACACACTCTGCAGTCGCACATATTTTCATATCTATGGTCAGAAAGAGTCGCCAAAAAAATTCATCCTTTTTTTTGTTGTGAAATGTTGTGATGGTGGTGTGTTGTATACCCTGATGACAGGTGACAGGAGACCGGATGACACTTCAAGCAAGCGCAAGGTTTCTTGGTCTGCAGAGCGTCATTGCACAATCCATTTTAATCTCAGCCATCGTGGGAAGAAGATCTTGGGAAGCCAGTAGACACTCCAGTTATAGGAAGCCAGTGGACAATCAAGTAGTACGTACGTGCATTTGCCACATGTTAGTCGTTTTATTTTGCCATTGTACCCTGTCAAAGTAAAAGATTGTATGGCCGAGTATATATTGGTATTTTGCATTAGTCATTTTATGTAATGGGCTCGAGAATTATTTGTGGATTCGAAGCTTATGCAGGTGTTCACATGATCTTTTCCAAGGGTGCTACAAATACCCATCACTACATAATGATTGAGGTTAGTAACAATTTGAGAAGAAAAATGGCGCGTCAAATCTTATACGATCATAGATGAATATCGAGTGTTTTCATGCAGTTTGAAAAATTATTGAGAAAAGGACCATTGATATTGTTTTGATACAGATGGTCGTCTTTCAATTTCATTAGTGAGTTGCTTTAATGGTGTATATTTTTTTTTCTATATTTGTCTATATCACATCAATTGAAAATCTTATCTGAAACGCTAGCGAATACAAAATTTATTTGCTTTAACTATCCTGGCTCGTGATGAACAAAAATAATTATGATAAATTAGATTCAAGCATAATAATGTGATTTTATTTTGAGATTGTTGAAGGATTTTAATTATTCTCAAAAATTTAGATTTTGTAATGCTAATACAATCAATGCTTTTTATATGAAATATTTTGTAAGTAAATGAAGCTGATGCATTAATTTTAATTTAATGATTTTGAAAACAAAGTACTTTTGACAATTGAATGTCACGGTCACAAAGAAATGTATTCAACATATTAAAAAACATTTAGGTATTATAATTTTCATTCATACATTTTAACATTTCTACAGCAGTTTGCTCTTTCAATTATAAAAGCCTCTCAATTTTTATATAATACCCTTGATGACAAAAAAATTCTGTGCTGATTCTGATTTTTTACTTAAGACATAGTATATATTATTGTTGACGGCTGCTACGATTTAAAGTTTTCTAGGCAAAATGCATTGAGGCTAAGTCATGTGAACACTGAAATAATTTTATTTCTCATAACAAGAATTACTGCAATAATTAGTCAAAGATACATGCAATATTTAATTTCAGATAAAGACATACAAAGAGTAATCCAAACTTAGTATTACCTTTTATATTTCAGCTCTGCTATAAAATAGAAGCTGTCGACAATAATCAAGTAATTGAATTATAAAAAATAAGTCAACTCTGGAATGAGAATCCTGTATTATCTTACTAGCTTGCTTGCTGCAGTAGACTTCTTTGCTTTATTAACTATTGGTAAGATAACAAAACAAGCAATTCTTATTTCGTAAGATACAATTATTTAGGTTTTGAGAAACCTAGAGTATAATTATGCTCTTTAATAAACACTCTAAAATACTCTAAGCTTCAACTGTTAACTGCTAATGCTTACAGTTCAAATACAATATGTAAAACTAATCACATAATTATCATATCTCAACATAATTAAATATTCAAAATATTTGTACAAGAATTATTATATAGGCTCTTTATTAATTATTTCTTGATACATGTTGCTGATGAACCACAATTAAGGATGGCAACCCATAAGAGACGATATCTGCTGAGGGATCAAAAAGACTTTTCTGGAAACTGAATTTATTAAACTGAATACGCATAGAGAGTTCAAGGTATGCAATTTATTTAATCATTTGCTTATTTATTCATCTTAATATTTTGATATCGTCATAAAGAATTTATTCATATTTTTTTCATTTTATTTAAATTTTTTTTTATTTATTTAACTTTCCATTATTACAATAATACTTATGTCACTCATAAATTAATTTATTGAGTCAATTATTTACACTATATCGCAAATATCATGTAACATGTTTTAAAATACCGCTTACAAATAGGTCAATTTTTTTATTATTCACTTACTCATACACGAGTTTTAATCATTTATTTATTTATGCATACAAATGACATTTTTTACATTCTACATTTTTTTTACTTACCCATTTAATAATTATAAACTTTCTGCAGTTCCTCTACGATTATTTTGCATATCTGTTTTTGAGAAAACATCGATTTGCGGCAAAAAATCTGTTCGCACACACACACACACACACACACACACATACACATACACATACTCACACACATACACATACTCACACACACACACATACTTTTTCCAAATTTGGTCTCATTTGGTTCACAATGGCTTGAAACATCGAGAAAACATAAAATTAGCGAATCGGATTTTTTCATGAAAACATAAACTTCTCCTTCGAGAAGTTAAAAATCAAAAACTGTTCGAAAGATATTAGTTGGGAATGACACTGATTAGTTTTAGGGGAAAATCTACCGAACCATTTTCTTGTAATTAACTGTTGAAAAAAAATTAATCCGATTTTAATGGAACTTTTTTTGATGATATATCATGGCTTTATAGAACTTACTGAAATATTACGGTCTTACGACAAGTAGTTTAATGTCTCGATGAACACACTAAATGATTAAATTCCTACAGAAACAGGTTCAATTATAAAAATTGTTGATTTTTGAAAATTTGTTTTTAGAAAATACTCCGAGTTAACGTGTTTGCTATGTGTAATAAATCCACTCGGAATACTTTAAATCAGTCATATGTTAATTTATTTTTTATTAATTAAGTTAATTATACATTTCGGAAAGTTCATGTAACTTGGCTCAAAACAAAATACCAATACCAACTAGTTTAGTTTATTCTTTTCAATTTTGCGATTTTTCATATAAATTATTTATTTTTTTATTCATTTCTATTTGTTTTCATATTTTTATCTATTTGTTTATTTTTACTTTTATATATTTTTAATTTTAATTGAAAATTAAATAATATAATTTAAATTAATTTTATCTTTATTAATTGTCTAATCGGACCAATTCGAATTTTTTTGCGCAGGATGTCATTTTTGAGCCGTGTCAAGTGGCTCCGCCGGCGACTTGATTGGTCCACGCGATTGTCAAGTCATTCATTTGCGTGATGGGCTGCAACGCAAGAGGACCTCCAGGACCAAGGGAGAGAGGACCCAGGGAAGTACCCAATAATAATAAGTGTGTTATGAAAATGAGCAAAATTAAACAAATCATTGTCGGGTTCTCATTCATTCATTCGCGTTTGCTTCCATTGTATTTAAATTTTGTGCAATTTCTTTTAACAATTTGTGATATAGACAGTAGATTGTGAACGGCATACGTAGTTTGGCGCGATCGTATTAATTTTTTTTTAAGTACTACTTTGTTAGCATATTATGTAATGTCACGATTCAGATAATTACTTGCATGCTAATATAGTAGCTTGGGGTAGTAGTAAATTATGTAGGTATCATTTGTAGTTCTAGTTTTGACTGACACACTAACACAATAATCCACTATTAAACAAGAATGTAATAATCTGAATCATTTGACATCATGTATTACTTAATTATATAATTATTAAACTATTGTCAATTATAAACAACTGTTGCCGTTTGCAATCCATATAGTATTGCGCCAATTTATTCATATTCTGATATGCATAAGTTGTTACATTGATGCAATAACTTTTTTTCATCACTTTTAGGGCGTTCTTGGAGGCCATGATACAAAAATCAATTAAGGACAAAGTGTGATCACTAAATGTTATCAATCTATGAAATAGTTTCAAACCTGCACATAATTTTACCTACTTCAGCAGTATGTGTTATTTATAAAACATTTTAAAAGATGTATTCTAATCTCTTGTTTTTTTTTGTTCCAGATTAAATTCTACACTACTGAATCAACTGCCCCATTCGACCCAACCGACTCTAGTCAATCAAACAGTAAGCTCCGATCAAGTATCTATCAGGCTGTAGGTATCCTATCTCAAACATTTTAAAAGACGTGTTCTAATCATTTGTTTTTTTTAATTTCAGATTCAATTATCCACTTCTGAATCAACAGCCCTCATCACCTTTAATTCATCAAACAGTAAGAAGTTATCAAGTATCTATCAGGCAGTCTGTATCCTTTATCAAACATTTTAAAAGACGTGTTCTAATCTTTTGTTTTTTTTATTTCAGATTCAATTATCCACTTCTGAATCAACAGCCCTCATCGCTTTATTCATCAAACAGTAAGAAGTTATCAAGTATCTATCAGGCAGTCTGTATCCTTTATCAAACATTTTAAAAGACGTGTTCTAATCTTTTGTTTTTTTTATTTCAGATTCAATTATCCACTTCTGAATCAACAGCCCTCATCACCTTTAATTCATCAAACAGTAAGAAGTTATCAAGTATCTATCAGGCAGTCTGTATCTTTATCAAACATTTTAAAAGACGTGTTCTAATCTTTTGTTTTTTTAATTTCAGATTCAATTATCCACTTCTGAATCAACAGCCCTCATCACCTTTAATTCATCAAACAGTAAGAAGTTATCAAGTATCTATCAGGCAGTCTGTATCCTTTATCAAACATTTTAAAAGACGTGTTCTAATCATTTGTTTTTTTTTAATTTCAGATTCAATTATCCACTTCTGAATCAACAGCCCTCATCACCTTTAATTCATCAAACAGTAAGAAGTTATCAAGTATCTATCAGGCAGTCTGTATCCTTTATCAAACATTTTAAAAGACGTGTTCTAATCTTTTGTTTTTTTTATTTCAGATTCAATTATCCACTTCTGAATCAACAGCCCTCATCACCTTTAATTCATCAAACAGTAAGAAGTTATCAAGTATCTATCAGGCAGTCTGTATCCTTTATCAAACATTTTAAAAGACGTGTTCTAATCTTTTGTTTTTTTTATTTCAGATTCAATTATCCACTTCTGAATCAACAGCCCTCATCACCTTTAATTCATCAAACAGTAAGAAGTTATCAAGTATCTATCAGGCAGTCTGTATCCTTTATCAAACATTTTAAAAGACGTGTTCTAATCTTTTGTTTTTTTTATTTCAGATTCAATTATCCACTTCTGAATCAACAGCCCTCATCGCTTATAATCTATCAAACAGTAAGAAGTTATCAAGTATCTATCAGGCAGTCTGTATCCTTTATCAAACATTTTAAAAGACGTGTTCTAATCTTTTGTTTTTTTTATTTCAGATTCAATTATCCACTTCTGAATCAACAGCCCTCATCACCTTTAATTCATCAAACAGTAAGAAGTTATCAAGTATCTATCAGGCAGTCTGTATCCTTTATCAAACATTTTAAAAGACGTGTTCTAATCTTTTGTTTTTTTTAATTTCAGATTCAATTATCCACTTCTGAATCAACAACCTCAATCACTTTAATCATCAAACAGTAAGAAGTTATCAAGTATCTATCAGGCAGTCTGTATCCTTTATCAACATTTTAAAAAGACGTGTTCTAATCTTTTGTTTTTTTTTATTTCAGATTCAATTATCCACTTCTGAATCAACAGCCCTCATCGCTTAAATCTATCAAACAGTAAGAAGTATCAAGTATCTATCAGGCAGTCTGTATCCTTTATCAAACATTTTAAAAGACGTGTTCTAATCTTTTGTTTTTTTAATTTCAGATTCAATTACCCACTTCTGAATCAACAACC